TTTATATATATATATATATATATATATATATATATATATATTTATATTTATATAAATAATAATGTGGACCTAGTGTGGTTTAATGTTTCAATGATAATGTAGACTTTAATGTTTTTCATAAATATCAAAATTTTAATTGTTAAGATTTACATATATTAACCCAAAAATCATTCATATGGATCACTTGAATTGCATTTATTTTAAGAATCTTATATTGAGTAAAGAAGAAGGATACAAAAATATGCGCTAGGGAAAAAATAAAAATAAATAATTAAGATATCTATTCTTTTACATTAAAAGAAGAGAATGCTACAATTTTATTGTATAAAATACATCCTTCTATCTTTATTCTTGGCTTGATCCTCACGTCGTAGAGAAAGAAGAATTCTATTCTTGTTAAGGCAGACTCTCTTGAAAGCTTCCCGTAGTTCCCATCGCATGAAGAACTTTCCTTTTTCTTTCTTTCTTTCCTTCCTTTCCTTTCTTTTAATAAAAGATGAAGCAACCCAAATTTTGAAGTTATGCTCAACAACCACTCACGATATGCTTTAATAATAATTTAGTTTTTGTAGTTTATTAAAAATAATTAAATACTCTTTTAACTAATTTTGATCGTCTTAATTTATTGTTTTTCTTTTAAAAATACATTATTTTTTAATTTGTTTTTTTTATAAATATTTATCTTTTGTATTTTTTTATAAAGTAAAAAAAATGAAATAAATTGAAAAGTAACGAGAAGTTGAAAAAATAAAATAAACTACTAACAAAATTCAAATTTAGAACTAAATATGTAATTTCTAAAATTATAAGAAATAATCAATTTAGCCATTAACTAGTTAGCAAGGTTTTTAAGATGTTAAAATTTTGAGTAAATTTAACTAATGTAGTGCTCAATTTATTAACCTTTTTCTTTAAAATTTTATTTTACTTTTTAAGTTGGTTTATCTTATCACAATCTTCATTTATAATACATACTTTCTTTTCTAATATGTTTTTCTCAAAAAGTAAACATGTATGAATTTTTTTTCTCCAATAAACTATGCTTAGAACCTAAATTCTTATATTTATCATATAATGTCTCAAATACATTATGCAATTCATTGTAAGAGAGGTCAAATTCATCATCCAAAGAAAGTATATCATTGTCGATGTTAATTGTCATGAAACACATGTTTGCAACATGCTCTTCTTTATCACTTGAACTAGAATCCAAGTCATCCCTCCATTTTACTTTCATTGCTCATTTATCATAATAGTTTATCTTTTTATTTTGAAGAAGAGCATGATAAGTTTTTATGTGTTCTTATCTTGTTGCACTTGTAGTATTTAAATATCTTTTTGCTAGATTCTTCCTTATTTTCATTCTTCTTAAAGTTTAAGAAATTTTTTATTTCCTTCTTTCTTAGGAAATGTCTAGAATTTTTTTGTAATAAGTGCAATGTCCTCCTCCACTTCATTATCATCATCACAATCAACATGGTGTATGATTTTGAATACCAAATTCTTCTTTTACTTCTCTTATAATTCTTATTTTTCTATGTTGATTTCATGAGTCATTGATGAATCGATGAACTCTTTTAATGGAAACTTGATGAGATCCTTAGCTTCTCGGATGCCGTCACGTTTGTTTTTTAAGTCTTTAGCAAGGATCTAAGAATTTTACTCACAATATCAGCATTAGTATAAATCCTACCAAGAGCATCCAAACTATTAGTAATAGTTGTCATTTTAGTAAACATACTAATTATGGATTCATTTAGAAGCAATTTGAATAACTCATGTTGATGTACAAGTATATCAATTTTAGATTCTTTAATTTTATTAGTACCCTCATGAGTCATTTCTAAAACATGTTATATATCCCTAATATTTTTACAAGATGATATTATATTAAACTCACAACTATTTAAGGCACAATACAAAATGTTAATAACTTTAGCATCTATAACAAAAAAAACTTTTTATCACCATCGGTATACTCACTCTTAGCCTTAGGAATTGTGAAATGATTTTTGGTTTTGGTATGCTTATGAGATCAATTTTCTACAGATAATTATATTATCATCATAGCTTTTTAATATGTATAATCATTACCATCAAAGAAAGGTGGCCTACATGTTGATAACCCTTCATTTTAAATACTAAAACTAGTTGTTGTTATTATACTCATGTCTAAAACAAGCCTATATAAGTAAGTCCTAAACTCTTATACAATTGTTGTTCTAATATTAACCTATATAAGTAAGTTGATTGGTACTTAAAAGTGCATTTTTATTTTTAAAAAAGCATACCAAGCATAATTAACTTAGAAAAAAAAAAGCATACCAAGCATAATTAACTTAGTAACCAACAATATAATTAAGGTGCTTAAACTAAATAGGTAAAAGGAAAGAGATTGCAAACTTGATTTTTAACGTGATTCAACAAGCCTACATGCACACCTTTACCAACTGTACTTGAGTATTATGTTTTTTAACCAATCCAAGTTAAAGATATAATGATCTAAATGAATCTACACCAAGTTAATACACCACTTAAAGATGCCCCCTCCTTAATAATTTTTTTAATGACAATACCTCACTAATATTAAAAGTTTATCTAAACTCTCAAATATATACAAGTGTGATTTTATAGCCGCAAGATACTCTTTCAATATAGTGGATTTTATAATTTGATAATCTATGATTTATATACCTTACTCAATAGCACTTAAAGGATTTGAAAGTGCTTAAGTGTTGTGAGAATAAGATGTATACTCTTATGCAAGAATACAAAGTTTTAATACACAAATATGAATATAATTTAGTATTGATGATTTGAATTTGTTTTTGCTCTTGAAATAACTTTATATATATATATATATATATATATATATATATATATTTAAAGCTTTTATTAACAAATAGTTAACCAATTCATTTGATATCATCAAACGGTTTACCGGTTCATATAGAATACTATATTTATCAATTTTAATTTTGGTGATTTTTTAGAACCGTTTTATCAATTCTTTTTAAATGCATGCAAAGTAGAGTGCGTGCATTCATTTTAATTTATGCTATTAAGTATGATATAAAAATTTACATTTAAGCACTAAACTGAACACTTAAAAATTAAGTCTTTACTTGCTTTATATCTTGGACTTGTTGATTTATTTCTTCATTTAATATCACATGCTTGTTAATGTAATCTTTGTATAAACTTATTTAAACTTATTCTCATCCAAGCATATCATTAATTCATTTCTATTTAATTGTTATCATTCCAATGCATAAATTATTAATATGTAACCCAAAGGTCAACACAATTTTCACCCATCAAAAAGGTAGTCGGAAAATTAGGAAGGGGTTTGTTGGATCCAAAGATTCACTTTCAACGTATTTTCACTTAAAAATATCTAATAAATACCCTAAAAGTCCTAATAAACCAATTTCTAGCTACAAAACCCTCTTAAACTAGTTAAATAGCATAAAATAACATTAAACAAAAATGTTCTTGTTTAATCACGATATACCTTTTTTGACATGATTAAAGCTCAAAGATAGAGGTGATTATTTTCGATTCGATTTGATTTTTATAAAAAAAAAGTAATCAAACTAATTTTTAAAACAAAATCGAAACCGAACCAGAACTGGTTCAAATCAATTGGTTTTGGATATTTTAGAACAAAAACTAGTTCAAACCAATTTTGCTCTGATTTTGTAATGCGGCTCTGTTTTTTCCGGTTTGACTTTGTTTTTTCCAGTTTGACTAGGTTTTTTTTAGCTTGGCTCTGTTTTTTATGGTTTGGCTCTGTTTTTTGTTTGGGTTGGTTCGATTTTTTTATTTTTAGACTTATAAAATTAAAATCAAATTGAACTGGTTGGTTTTTTAAAAATTATAATCAGTTTAAATAGGTTTTTTATAATTTGATTTTTTTAATTTAATAGGTTTTTTGATTTTTTTGCTCACCCCTGCTCAAAAACTCTTTTATAACACTCTTCTCATTACAAGAAACACATTGATATCAAAATTAATATTTTTAATTATTGAAAAATATCTAACTGGCCGCTTTCTCTCTCCTTTTTTATTTGCCACCGATATTCTCTCTCCTTGCAAATTCTAGGAAGTTCCGTATTTACCACCAGTATTCTCTCTCGTTCCAAATTCTAGGAAGTGAAGCGCAAAATAAATAAAGTTTAGAACTTAAAAGTTAAACACGAGGATTAATAGCTCGAAGGTTAATAACTCAAGGGACCTAAGTGTACGTACTTTTCCGCACCAACAATAAAAACAAAAGGAAAAAGGTTTGGCTCTTCGTTTATCTGAAAAATTAAATCCTATTTCATAATAATTGATTATCAATTTGAAGTAGGGATATTTTATGATACTGCGAATATGATGAATAATATGAAACAAAAGCAATTGCCAGGCTTTAATTCATCGAAAAAATAATATGAAATGATGAAATAAAATAAAAAAAATTGAAAGTATCAAAACGAATAATTGACAAAAATAAAAATTAAAAAAAAAAACCAAAAAACAAAACAAAAGACCACTCATTCGCATTCTTCATGTCCACAGAGCGAATGTATCATCATCCATATAAAGACGAACAGAAAAACAACGTTTTTCTTAGTTTTTTTTATTGTATGATTTTTGTGGTAATAATTTTCCTTTAGCTCGTCCAAGAAGTTTCTTTAGATGGTCTTGACTGCTTCCCAAATACATGCAAGACTTTTCTCCTCCATTAAAGTGGAATCATCGAGCATTCAGCTCGCAAAAGAAATCGTTTAGATGAAGTTCATAACCTTGAAGTGCCTATTCACTTAGTTCAAGACCTCCCACCTGTTAATTCATTGATAACTTTTCCCCACTTGGTTGCTGACACGTGCATGCAGAAGTAATCATTAACATAAAGAAGTTGCCTGTGATGATAAGAAAGGGAGATGGCCACGATTGATTTTAACACTTTAAAAATATATCTGTGATGTTGATGACCATTAGCTTGCACTGAATGCATGCATGTGGGCTGAACGTTTGGTCTGATTTTATGCCCAGACATCCCCTGGAATGTTTGGTGGTGACCTCCTGATCATCCAACTTTCATTAAAATAATTGGAACAGCAAACAAATTTACCAGGGAACGATACAATGCATGGATCATATATAGTGTATTATGTTCTCATCAAAGCATACCAGATATACATGTAGGGTTTAGTTTTTGTAAGTGCCATAAATGGTGTAGACGGTTTGAGACACCGTAAGAAGAAGGATAATCAAGGCAGCCAATGCAGATACAAAAGACCAAGGGGTGTTAAAATAAGTATACTTGAAGCTTGCCCACTGTACGTGCCGACTATTCTTGTAGTATTGGTCAACATCATGGAACAACTTGGACAAATAACACCTTTCGATGTCAAATGCTACTTCTTTACCAAGATCATTGATGAAACTTGCAACTTCTGAATCAGTACCAAAGTAATTCTCGATAATATTGCAGTCAGATAGATGTTCTACATCTTTGAAGGTGTTAACCAGGCAATCCAGAAGAGTTGCATACGTTGTGAAATGCTTGGAAGAACCATTATGACACTGCTCGAATGCTACACAATTTAGCAAAAATGAAGTTATAGTCTCATCGATGGTTATGGGAGGCATCTCTATCACCCCGTTCTTGAATTTCACCATCAAGAAACTTTTCTCAGGATTTCCTTGACTCAGCTCAATTCCGGCACGGCGAAGTTTGGATACAGAGTGAATCACGGGAGTCGATGTGTCCACATGGAGTGATTGGCCTTGCTCAAAATCTATGAAACTTGAACGAACTAAATCGAGTAGATGTTTGGCTTTAAGATCATTATGCCTTGCAATAATATTATCTGGTCTTTGAAGAGCATAATTGAAGAAATCCAACGCAAGTTTGCACAAAGAAGGGCCAGATTCTTCTCCTGGCATTCTTGTTATATCAAATAAACACTCAAGAACAAAGAAAGGAATCTGGTTCTCGAGTCTTAGTAAATCCCTGTAAAAAAAAGGTATGATCCATGCCATGGTAACAATAGGGTCATCAACCTCGAATTCAACAACATTTCCAACTTTACGAAACAACTCTATAATAAAACAACCATCTACAACCATCATCTCAATAAATTCATCGGTGTCAAAGTGGATAATTTGTGAGTAACACTCTCTTGCTTTCTTTTCTAGTGGCTGTATTGCCTTCAACAAGGCTTCCAAGTCCACACCTTTGTTCTGTGTCCTCGAGAGGATAGAACCTAAATATCTCCACTTGTGTTCTTCTATCATTTTAAGGTGTTCCTCACCATGGTGATAAGGTCCTATTGAAACTACATGAGGTTGGTAGGACTTACCGTTGATATCAATGAATCTTTGGGGGACTTTAAAGATGCAACATGAACTGTTAGCAGCTGCTTTGGTCAATAATTTTGGTGGGTCGGAGATTTTTTGGTGCATCCAGTTCAAGCGATCCTCGTTCACCTCCCAAATTCTTATGACATGATTGCCTTCTTCATCTTCTACTGAAATGCTCTCCATTTCACTCGTCTTGATCGTGAGTTTCTCGGGCCACTAGCCTAAAAAGTTTCAAGACGTGCAGCTGATCTTCCTTCCTGAATTTGAGAAGATTTTGGCAAAGCAAATATAATGAATGAAAATTAGACAAACCTCAAAAACACCCCTTATTTATTGGATCAGTATCAATTTTGTCCCCAAACAATTTCTTATATCGATTTTGTTCCTAAGCAAATTTCAATTTCTTAATTGGAGCCTTCTGATAGAATTCCTTATAAAAAAATGTAAATTCTACCACAGAAAAAATGTTCTTTATTAAAAAAAATGCAATTTGAATGGAATCCATAACCAAATATGGATGCTGAAACCTACGGAAAAAATTGATATAAAAATTTGATTGAGCCCAACATTTATACTATTTATATAGTTGAAGGGCATTTTTGAAGTTTCCTTTAATAATTTATACCTGATAACTATCCTATCCCTTATCTATTTTTCCAGGGGTACTTGGAAGTATATTAGTGGTTATTTTTTAAAGTATTTTTTTACTTGAAAATATATTAAAATATTATTATTATATTATTTAATTTTTTTTTTTGATATCAACAAATTAAAACAATAAAAAGACACCTAATGAAATTATTTTGAATTAAAGAAAATTTTTTTTTTTTGATATCAACAAATTGAAACAAAACATCTAATGAAATTATTTTGAATTAAAGAAAATACATGAATTCTTTTAAAAAAATTTTAAAAAATAAAATATAAAAATAAACTAACTCTTCATTTACTCATCTCATCAGACACTTTGACCATGGGTTTGGATTTTAGATGACACAATTACATATAATGTTTTTTTTTAATAAAATCATATATATATAGTATGAAATTTGATAAAAAAAAAAAAGAAGATAAAAAAACATCCCAAGTTAATTAAAGATAGTGAAGTAGATATATAACCTAGATAATAAAAAATGAACAAATTTGAGTTAATTTATAAAACTTATGATGTAAGTTATGAGTTTGAAATTATTTTATAAAATAAAATTAAAAATAATTAAAAATAATTTTTTAATTTAATTATTTTATACTAAATTATTTTTTAAGTGTTAATATTTTCTTACATATCTTATTGTTTTATTATTTTGAGGACGGATTGGTTAAGCTAAATCAGGTAAATTTGCTTCTTCTTCTTCTTCTTCTTTTTTTATTTCCTAGATATAGACAACTAAGGGAAAACGAGGGGCCAAGGAGGGAAGGGGAAGGATAGAGAAATTTCTGATGAGCTGCATTTAAAATTTTAAATCACTTAATCCAATAATTTTTGTGCCCATATGTTTGTCTTCATGGTAAAAAGTTTGTTTTTTGTGGGTTTATTTATTTATTCATTATTATTATTATAATGGTTCAACATCCCTAAATTGCATGCAATGGAATTGGATCACCATCGTTTCTCGTTGCATTGACGGCGGTGAGTTATCTATTTACTTTAATTTCATGGGCTGCGCGTCCAGCCCAATAATCAGGTCTGGTTGCCTCAAGGCCCATAAACGCGGGCCTTACCCGAATTAATGATTATTTTTTATATTTTCATACAGCCTCGTAAACTAACAGCGATCATTTCCACAAGTTTTCCTTTTTTATGTATTTTTTTTAAAGAAGTATTACAAGAGGTAGTCTTTATTATCAGAAGCAATGCTTTACTATACAGCTTTACAAAAAATAATGAGTGATTACTAAAAATTTCAACATCAGTAGAGGTTTAATAACTACTAATTAATTAATTTAAGATGCATACTTTTAAAAAACCTTAGACAATAATTACTAATTCCTTTCTTTACTATTAATAAGCTTTTAGAAAAAAAAATGTTGAGATAAATAGAGATTTAGTGGTTCATCGTTTATTATCTTTTAGTTAATACTAATATTCTACTAATTATAATTTTAAAGAGTATAATTTAACTGGTCAGATTTAGATTTGTTTTCTAAAAATTATTAGTTTAAATTTTATAAATCTTAAGATTATTGAATGCTTATATAATTTGTAATTTCAAGACTCGTGTAATTAGTTGAGATAATTGTAAATTGACTCGGACATTCATGATAATAAAAAAAAAATATTTGACTAATTATGTATAGTTTTAAAATTGATCATAATTCTTTGATATATTTAAAAATATGATTTCATATTCTTTGGAATTAGCATAGACATATTAAATAACCATTATTTGATCTTATCATTTTCCAACACAAATTTAAAATTATGTTACAAAATTAAAAGTGAACCTATACATATAAATTATTGGGAGAACATGGGGCGACAACTTAGATTGTGGATCAATCAACCAACCAGCAGTGCAGATAAATTTTATTTTATTTATTGGCTCAATTAGTCACTCCTACAAATTTAATAGATAAATTTAATATAAATAAATAAAATAATATGCCATTTTACAATTGACTGGTTGATAGTTCCAAGTGATAAATAAGATTCATCAAGTAATATATCAATCAAAATAGGAAATTTAAATTATTTGCTCATTTATTAAATTTAATGAGGTGCTACTAATAGTTTAGCATAATGTTATAAAAATACAAATTATTTTATGGGTAATATTAATGGTGACAAAGGGAACTAGAATCTTATATATCGAACAACCAAGTCTTATTAAATAATACCTAATTTCTGCAAGAAACGTTACCATTGCTCTTATTAAATTCGAAAGGTTATTCTTCAACTGAAGGCATGTCTTTACTCGGCAAATTCCCTTTTTCTCCCTTTCATTTCCCTTGAACAAAGAGTAGATCGACATGTTGTTATAAACTAATCGATACAATATTGGTGTTTTAGCTTAATAAGGAAGCATTTTGGTCTTGTTAAATTCATGCTTGTCATTGCAACATGGATTAATAAAATACTAGCTATGCTAATCGTGATTAGCCAGGAGTCCGGTTTAAAAAAAAATTGAAAAACAAAAATGATGTTTAGGTAACCAATCATTTTTTTAAAAAGAGAAAAAAATTAATGTTCAATGAAAAAAATTAATGTCGAGCGAAGAAAATAAAATAAAAAAATAATGTTAATTTATATTAACTCATTAAGTATGTGACCCAAGTTATTTTATCAAAAGTAAAAAATTCTAAAAAACCTTGAAGTCTAATCTTTAATTAATAAAATATTGAGTGATAAAATTAAAAAAATTAAATATTTAAAATAAAAAATATAATTACAAGTCTAAAAAAGCATAAACCTACCTAACTTAACTTGCCAAATTTATAGATTAAATTATGATATCAAAATTACTTGACAGAAAAGAAAATAAGAAAAATCATGAATTTTTTTTTAAATCAATGTCATATAATGAGATAGAAAAAAATAAATCCAGAAAAAAATGATATCAACTCTTGTCTAGGGCTTTTTTTTCTAGAAGCATCAAATATGAAAAGATCATTAAATTAAATTTTTAACAAATCAAATACTAAAGGATGATTTTTTTTTAAGAACTAAAAAAATTAAGTTCATAAAAGAACTAAAAGAAGAAATTACCAAAAGATTGAGTATCAAATGTTTTAAAAAAATTAATTAAAAAATAAAATTAAAAATAATTGAAATTTTACAAAAAAAAAGTAAGAAAAAAATCCTACCAAATTAAAGAAACAAAACAAATCAAAAACTTAAAAAAGCACCGAGTATTAAAATTACAAATAAAAAAAATAAGAATTCTTGTCATTTAGTCTTGCCGGTCTCCAATAAATTTCAAAAATGCCCCTCAATCTAAATTATAGAAAATCCAAACCCAGAGTAATTTTATTGTTCATAAAAATCACGAAGATGAAAATACCATAATTGTAAGCTTTAAATGAAAGTCGAATATAAAGGTATAAGAGTTATTTTACTGTGCATCATAAAACAAAAAAACAGTATTGCCCCCTTTAAATTCTAGAGTGACAAACGGATCATTTTAAAATTAAAAAATTACCCCAATAACATACTTTCTTGGTTTTGGTTTCAAGGGCAAAATAAGTTTCATCCATTTTTTTTATTTTTTTTTAACTTAGTTCTCCTGTCATTCAATCTCGCCCGTCCCTTATAAATTAACCCAGATTGGGTTACCAATTTAATTAAATAAGGGTTAAGTAAAAAAGGGCCGCAAAAAGGGCACCGGGAATCCCCCGGCAACCCCCCCAAAACACACACACCCTCTTACTTTACATTTACTTATAATCATAAGAAATAAATTGTAAAGCATAAAGTGGAGTCTACTTAAATTTGCTTCTTAATTACTCCTCATAACTTGGACTAGTTATTTATAAAATCGAAGGAGAAAACGCAAAACTATTTTTAAATTCGGACAAAACCAATGAACTTTGCCCAAAGAATGCGCTCAAGTTTGAAGACCACTGCGGGCTCCTTTAAAGTACACATTGGCAACAGATTGAACAAGCCAGTCAACTCAATATGGCTGGCTAATCCTCGCCCTAACCTTTTTTTTTTGCCCCTTCATTTATGCTCTAACTTATCTAATGACGTAACAAAACAACTAAACATAAAGTATACTATGGTCTGGTCATCGACATATTTTATTATTTCTCGCTCCAATGTTAATCTAATGACGATTTGCACCATACATTGTTAATCTAATAACGCTTTTAAAGGATGATTTATCATTGGTTGTTGGTTTTTTTTTTATATATTTTTTTAATTACAAGATATTTCAATTTCAATTTCAATTTTATTAATTTATAATTTTTTTTAATATTTTTTATAAAATTTTTATTTATTTTCAATATCATCATGTAATCTCAATTTATCATATACTATTGTTTTCAATGTGGTTTTTATTATTTTTATTTTTAATTTTTTTGTACAAATTTTATTAGTTTTTAATTTTATTATTCAATATAAATTTATAGTATATTATTTTTGTAATTTGATTCTTATTTTTTTGATTTTTTGTTTTGTTTTCAATTTCACCATTTGATAAAAAATTGTAATTTTTCTCTAATTTATTTTTTATTTTGATTTTTATTCTTATTTTTTTAATTGCAAAATTTTTATATTTTGAATCTTTCTTATTTTTTCAATTGCAAAATTTTTATATTTTGAATCTTTTTATGTGATTTTTTTCTTCGATTTCATCATTCAATATTTGATTAGTTGGAGATTGAGTTTTATAGTTTTTTCATAGGTGGTGCTTTTGATAATAATCCCAATTACGAGTTTAAAAAGTTAATGGAGGTTGATATTTTTTTAGCTTATTTTCTTTTTTGATTTCAACTTCAATATTAATTTATTTTATAGAAAAAAATTAACTTTATGATTTTCTTCGGTTCTTTTCTATTAGATTATTTTAATTTTATGACTTAGAATACATGTTTGTTGGGTTAACTCACCCCTTATCACCCAAGTTATATTTTTACTATGCTAATTCAAGTTGACTTGTGCTAGTTTTTGTATTTTTCTTTTATTTAATTTGATCATTTCATATTTAATTGATAACAAATTAAATATCATTGTTTTTTTGCTCTTGAAAATTTTTTTTTCCTTGATTTATTGTAGTAATTTTAAGATTTTTTTCCTTGATTTATTGTAGTAATTTTTTTCATTTATTATCATTAATTTTATCTCATTAAAATAAAATCAACTTAGTTAATTAATCAAGACTATAAACCTGAATATTAAGTTTTACACACACACTAATAGCACTTAAATATCATTTTTTACGTAGAAAAATTAGTGCCTAACATGTGAAGTGGTGTGTCCCCAATTCTAGTGACTTTCTCTAAATGATACGTTGGAAACACAACACTCAGGACTTACGAAAGTTTTATTACAACACAAATGATGGGTAATAAGACTACACAAAATTGAAAAACTCTTCTCCGGACACTCTTGTAAATCGGCAATTTGATTTGTACCTTGTAATAAATATGCATTTATTTATTGAGACAAACAAATAAGAACAATTAAATCTTTACTACTAGTGTATTCTTGAAATTTATTGTCTTTCGACGATCGATTTATCTCTCATCCGACTCGGTGACGACTGGATAACTTAGGATAAATTGTGCCTATATATCGTTATATAACAATTAGTTCACAGGATTAAACCTGAGAAAATAATGTAAAAAACGAATATATACGTATTTATATGGGGAGTCAAAGTCTCAAGGCTTGCTTCGGAGTTCCTGTGGATTCAAAAATCCACCACCACGCTAGATGCCCCTTGAAAATTGGGAAATAAATACTCTTTAGCTAGCTTAGGTTGTGAGTCAAACCCACGTACAAGCCCAAAACCGTCAATTCAACCCAAAAATCAACATTTCAACATCCAGCTCCCTTGACCTTTCTTAAACACCCGCCTCCATTTACCATTCTACCCTTCTCCACCACCCTCTCCCTCCCGCTATATTAAACCCCGACCTCAACAGTCCGAAATCGCAACAGACTAGCTTTTTCTCATAATCCCATCAGATCAAATTTGGACTATCCATCAATGGCATCCGAATCAGAGCAACCCCTATCCGCCTCCAGCACTCCCGTCAACGGCGAAATCAAACCCAAAATAGCTCTAGTCACCGGTATAACCGGTCAGGATGGTTCATATCTCACTGAATTCCTCCTCAACAAAGGCTATGAAGTTCATGGGTTGATTCGTAGGTCCTCCAATTTCAACACGCAGCGGATTAACCATATTTATATAGACCCGCACAATGTCCATAAAGCCCGAATGAAGCTCCATTATGCAGATCTCTCTGACGCGTCGTCTCTCCGTCGTTGGCTCGACACTATCTACCCCGACGAAGTCTACAACCTTGCAGCCCAATCCCATGTGGCAGTCTCTTTCGAAGTCCCTGATTACACGGCGGATGTCGTTGCCACCGGAACTGTCCGCCTTCTTGAGGCGGTGAGGTCTCATATTGCCGCGACAGGGCGAAGCCATGTCAAGTACTATCAAGCGGGATCTTCGGAAATGTTCGGATCTACGCCGCCACCGCAATCAGAAACCACCCCATTTCATCCAAGATCACCATATGCCGCGTCAAAATGCGCGGCGCATTGGTACACTGTTAATTACAGGGAGGCTTATGGGCTGTTTGCTTGCAATGGGATTTTATTCAATCACGAATCTCCTCGTCGCGGGGAGAATTTTGTAACCCGAAAGATTACGAGGGCTCTTGGGAGAATTAAGGTGGGGTTACAGAGTAAGCTGTTTTTAGGGAATTTGCAGGCCTCTAGGGACTGGGGTTTCGCAGGGGATTACGTGGAGGCAATGTGGATGATGTTGCAGCAGGAAAAGCCTGATGATTATGTGGTTGCGACAGAGGAATCGCATACGGTGGAGGAGTTTTTGGAAGTGGCATTTGGCTATGTTGGGCTGAATTGGAAGGATCATGTTGTAATTGATAAGAAGTATTTTAGGCCTGCTGAAGTGGATAATTTGAAAGGGGATTCGAGCAAGGCGAGGAAAGTGCTTGGCTGGAAGCCTAAAGTTGGGTTTGAGCAATTGGTGAGGATGATGGTCGATGAAGATGTTGATTTAGCTAAGAGGGAGAAGGTTCTTGTTGATGCTGGTTACATCAATGCTCAGCAACAGCCTTGATTCATACGTCTGCTGGTCTCTTCTCGTCCGGTCATTAAGTTATTGTATTAATGTACGTAAGAAATTTGAATAATCGAGTCATAATCGAATAATCAGTCATAATTGAATAATCAATGAGTTTAAATTGATAGGAGGATATTTACTGGGGTGTTTAATTCAAGTGTTTTTTTTCCCCTAAAATGTTTATTTGTCCCTTTGTTTCGTGGAATCAAATTCATTCAGTTTCAGCAAGAATAGTTTCAATCCTTGTGACTCTTTGATTTTTTTTTTTATTCTTTTCGTAATTCATGAATTGAAATTGGATTTCCAAGCCTGAGATTTTTGCAACTATTACCTACAAAATGCAGGAAGTCGTATGGCTTGCAATTACTTACAGGCTCCATTGTTTCAGTCAATAATGAAGTTTACCGTGTTCTATACGGGTTTGATTAAGCAGACAATAGCTCTCTGATGTGAACTGTTTGGCAGTTGACGCGTACGAGGTTCTAGGCAAGATTACACTTCCGTGGTTCGACGTACAATTCGAACATCATTGCTCCTAGAATGGGAAAGCTTGGCCTTTTCACGCACATTATACTTGTCGTCAGCACACTGTTTGCTAATCTGTCCATTTTGCCACATATAAACTAGAAATAATTGAGAAGTTGTGATGGGGTAGTGGGGTCTGCTGTCCTTTTCTTTAGAAATGCTCTGGACATGGAGCGTTTTCTTCTTTTTTTTTAATAATACGGCCGAAAAATATAATTTGAAAACCAGCTAATTTGATAAAAAAACCCAGCTAATTCTAGTTTATTCTGTATCGGTTTACGTCCGCAGGCAGAACTTTTTTTTTTTTTAATTTACGCGCATAAAAAAAACCCTTCATTATTCTAGTGTTACAGTATATTCTGTATCGGTTTACGTCCGCAGGCAGCAGTTCGTGCATTGCTAATTGCACACGCAATAGGTGGGGTGGGGTGGTGGGTGTCCCGGTGGCTGTCTGCTCCTTTCTTTGTCAATATCTATTTTTCGTCCCGTTGGCTGTCCGCTCCTTTCTTTGTCAATATCTATTTTTCGTAAAAGAGTTTAAAAAGGAAGCATCAGATCTGGTTTAAAACAAACAAATGATGCATCAGATCCTAGCTCATGTCGGTTCAGCATAATCTTTACATTTTACAGCAACAGCACATACTGTTTTCAACATCTTGAAGGAAACTATCATGGATTAATTAAGATAATGAAAGGATGGCAGAACAAGATTAGCAATTTGTCCTCACATTTCATCCACTAAGCTTCTTTGTCAACGTTTCCAATATGCAATCTCGATCCCAATGGAGATTATGGGTTAAACAATGACTATACACAAGGAAAAAAGAAGGTGAAAACAGAACCTAAAACAGTTCGTCTGAACTGGCTTCGTTTGAAGGTGGATAAGATTTTCATACTCTTTGCACAGATGATGAGCTAGAGCTGATCTCTGAGTCAGCAGTGGCAGTTGAAAATGGCTTAACTGATGAACGAAGAGATTCTGGCCCCTCTGTAGTAATTCTACTGCACAATGTATCACAATTACTAATCACCTCATTCAGCCTCCCTTTTAACTCCCCAATCTCCACCTGCAGAGAATGAACTGCAAGTGTTGTCCCAATTAAAGTTGATCAAAGGCTTGATCAAAGATGCAGTCAAGAATAAGAAACTGAGACTCACTACAAGTAACTGAGCCAAAAGGCAAACACTACTGAGAGAATGATCAATTCTCTTATGATTTCTCTATGTGATTCCATAATCCGTAAGTAATCAGTTATAGTTTGATAAGTTGTCAAGTACCTTCTGATAGATTCTGCGAAGCAGTCTTCATTGCTGACACCGTGTAATTAAACCTTTGAAGAAGTTTAATTGCCAAAACATCTGCCACTTCTATCTTATTTCCTATCTCCTCCTGCAATAGTTTTCACCAAAATATAGTGGAAGCAACATTAAATTTCTGAATCCTACGAAGTGTAAAATAGCAAAACCAAAACAAAGTCGACAAAAGAGGTACAGCAGGTTTTCCAGGACAGCACATACTGCGAGAAGAATTTCAAGCATCAGCATATAACACAATAACCGCTAAAGTAGTACTTTCCAGTGGAAACTATTGCTGTTATTGCACTCTAGTCAGACTCTTTGGTTAAGAACCAGTGATTCCACGTATTCATGGGTAAAGAAAGAGAAAATTTCAAATGGCTCATCAATTAAACATTCCTTTTGACATAAAACCATGTTTAAAGTAGTGTACTAGAAGTTGCTTTTTAAAATGTTTTTCACGTGGAAACGCATCAAAATAACGTTTGACATCCAGAGAAAATTTCAAATGGTTTATCAATTAAACATTCTTTTTGACATAAAACCATGTTTAAAGTAGCGTAATAGAAGGTGCTTTTTAAAGTGTTTTTCACCTGGAAACGCATCAAAATAACGTTTGACATCAAATCCAAAAACACAAAAAAATAAATTAAGTAACTTGAAGCTAAAAATCCAAAATTCAAAAATTTTCAAAAGTGTAGTTGGACCGAAAAACCAAACACTACTAAAGTCTTTGGACCTTCACTTGATCTATTAAAGAATCAGGTTGACCAGAATTGAGTGTAAAGTAAAACCAGATCATGTGCTTTCTCTTAACATCAGATTGGACATTTTACATTTTTATGCTGCTCATCACCATCATATATAGTTGGCTACTTTCCATTGATGCATCACCAAAACCGAAACATGAGCATTGAAAAGCTGCAAGCACTACTTGAAAATCAATTTACATGTGACCCTAACCTATAAACAAGTTTAGTATAGATCATGATGGAATTTATCATTATCCACGTCCATGTGGCATGTGTGCATCTTAGTGCTAAACTTCAACCTGGATTTCAACCTAAATAAAAAACTGCATCAGAGAAAGAACTAAAAATACAAAATATAATCCATTGAGGACCCCCACCCCCAGATCAAAGGACCCATCCCATGCGTTTACAATATTTAACTAGATTTTTATAAACTGGTCTTCTACTCATAGTAGTTCTTCATGACAAACAAACCTGTTTCTTGCTAATCTGCTGGCCCTTCCCCTCCAGCCAATCATGATATATCGAGAAGAGCTCCAACAACACATTTGGATTTACAGCTGCTGCATTTAACATTAAAAACAACACACATGCAAATACCAAGTCAAAATATTAGCCTTTCTCAAACAAGTATTCCCTAATTTAAATGGGATGAGCAAGATAAAGAAATAAGGGTACAAAATTACATCTATGACCAATATACACTAGATGAAAAACCACGTCGAACAGCTACTATTCAACTTGACATAACATTAATTTCTTGCTATGTAAAACATTCACGAGAAAATGTATAGAACTAGTGATTGTTTTCGTTTCTCTTTCTATACCGAGCCTCTCCAAAATGGGATCCACAGCTTCTGATCTCTCAGTGACGGTAGTGATCTCATCTGTCAGTTTCTTTACACCAAAAACAAGCAAGTTACTCAACAGTGACAAATTTATTGTAAATGATTGGAGAATTTTAAAAGAACTAACTACCTGGGAACTTGAAAGACTAGACTCGGAGGCACCCATGGTGGTTTACAGTTTACTTCTAAACTCTTGTCTTCAACGGAAAGTTCGATAGCGTGTTGTAATCGCCACCGAGTACTGATCGGAACCCGTTTGGACTCCGCCAAGGAATCGTAGAAGGGGTAGCAGCTTGCAGTCGAATTTATTGAGGCTAGCAGCTGAAGTGCTTTAAAACAAAATGATGCCGTTTCGGTCCCCGTAAGTCTGGGACGACTACTAGTTTTGTGGTTGTGGAGCGAAAGGATGGCTTTTGGTTTAGTAGCAGTTTGGTCCCTAAGGTCCTACACGTGTTGCATATTACTACCTGTACTTTCAAAAATGAATAATCTAGAGCTTGTAGTTTAGGACAACCTGTACTGCTAGATGCATTACAACCGAATTCCTTGTGTGTGGGGCAATTTTCTAGAATTCCACTCCGGATAAAAAAATTAAATAAAAACCACAACAATTAAGTAGATGACAATAAGAGCTAAGCCCTATTAATTTATATTATTTTTAAAACAAATATTTGAATTTTTTATTCAAAGAAATTAAAACAATTTTCTTTAAACATAAAATAAAATAAAATAAAACATTATTTGGATTTGACTAAGTTCATCATATTTGATATAACTAATACAAGATTGATAAGATTAACACCTGAATCAGTTTGAAATAAAACTTAAATCGAGCTGATACTAAATTAATAAATTAATATGTTAATTTGTCCGGTTAGACAGGTTTTAATAAGATTTAAACCATAATGTTTAATGTATAAATATTAGCACATTGCAAGGACTGAAAAAGCAACCAGAATCACTTCGGTCTTCCCCTTCCCCTATCTTCATCTCGTTTATATATAAAGCCCTCATTTTTTTCAATTCTGAAGAAAGTTGCAAAATCAATCAAATAAAGTAATTAAACTTTCTTCCCCTATCCACTGATATATTCTGCTCCAGTCAATCTCAAGATTTATAAATTCAAGCCAGTAATCAATCTCACTCTCTTTGTGTATGCCAACATGAAAGCTACAAAAGCAGCCGCAACTAAAAAAACACCGGCGGGAAGGAAACCTGCCGCTGCCAAAGCCGCTCCTGATTCTGCCACCGAGGAGACACCGGTTCCAAAAACCCTAGGCTACGCCAAGCAGACACAAAATAACGACATGACACCGTTGCCAACTACCGGTTCTGATTCAAAACTTGAACAATCACCAGGTGATAATGACTATTCCATCTTTCTGTGAAAAAGTTTTTATTTATTTATTTAGTAGCTTGATATTATTCTTAATTAGGGTTTCTTTTTTTTGAAGTGTAGCAATTAATGTGATTTTTAAGGTTTTTTTTTTTTTTGAGGTTGCTAGGCTAGGTCTGCTAATTGATAATTTTTAATATTAGTTGAAGGAAACAATATACATATGGACGTGAGCATGGCGACGCTGGATACTACGAAGCCACTTCCGATTAAGAAGAAGGTTGTGAGGAGAGTGGTGAAGGTGGTGAAGAAAACTCCTGCCAATGCAAAAGTTCTTTCAGAACAAACACCAAAAACTGTGATTGCCTCAAAGTCTAGGGTTGAAGAAAGCTCAAAGGAGGAGGAACTTGCTGCTGAGAATGTTGGAGAATCCTTAAAGAAGGAAGAAGTTAGGATGAAAGTGGAAAATTCTAAGGTTGAAAGTGTTGCTGTCTCTGTAAAGGAGGAGGAAGGTGTGGAAGAGCCTGTACTCGATTCTAGCAAGGATGATGGAGCTATTAGTGATTTGGTTTGGGACTCTGTGACAAAGAAACAAACTGCTGTGGAAGAACTTATGAAAGTATCTAGGAATGGAGAACCTGACAATGGGGGAAAGGGGGTGGATGTTAAGGAGGATGAGAGGAAAGCCATGGATGATGAAGTAAAGCCCACAAACGAGGCTGTTAAGATGGAAGAGACTTTGAAGGATGAGGTTCGGAGAGAAGAGGCGCAGCCCGAGCAGGATGAGTATGGTGGGGATGATGGATATGAGGAGTATGGAGATCGAGTGGATTTTGAAGATCCTGGTGAGGATGACTTTGAAGATCCAGATGAGCCTGCCGAGGAAGCTGATGCAATGGAAGACGAACGCAGGGAACTAACAGCTGTTGCTAAGGAGCGTAAGATTAAGAAAGAGTATGAGATATTTGTTGGCGGGTTGGATAGGGATGCTACTGAGGAGGATTTGAGAAAGGTTTTTGAGACGATTGGTGAAGTGGTTGAAGTTCGATTACACAAGAATCTTTCAACGAATAGGAATAAAGGATACGCGTTTGTGAAATTTGCAAGCAAGGAGCATGTGAAGCGCGCTTTGTCAGAAATGAAAAACCCTGTGGTATGTATCACTTCATGGTTTTGGTTCACATTTAATAAATGTAATGTTAACTCCTCAACTGTTCACAGATTCGTGGAAAGCGATGTGGGACAGCACCAAGTGAGGACAATGATACATTGTTCTTGGGAAATATATGCAACACATGGACAAAGGAAGCTGTGAGTATCTAATAAAATCCAGCTCTGGTTTTGTTATATATATATATGTATGTATGTATGTATGTATGTATGTATTTCTTCAGTGATTTATTATATAATGTGGATTGGCAGATAAGGCAAAAGTTGAAGGATTATGGTGTTGAAGGTGTTGAGAACATCACTGTTGTCTCAGATGCTCAACATGAAGGGAGAAGTCGTGGTTTTGCATTTCTTGAGTTTGCTTGTCATGCTGATGCAATGCTTGCATACAAGAGGCTTCAGAAGCCTGATGTTGTATTTGGTCATCCAGAGAGAACTGCCAAAGTGGCATTTTCTGAACCTATACGTGAGCCTGACCCTGAAATTATGGCTCAGGTTAAGACTATATTTCTTGATGGCCTTCCCCCACACTGGGATGAAGACCGTGTTAGGGAGTGCTTGAAAGGTTATGGAGAGATTGTGAGAGTTGTCCTAGCACGAAATATGTCAACTGCCAAGAGAAAGGATTTTGGATTTGTTGATTTCTCTACGCATGATGCTGCTGTTGCTTGTATTGAGGGAATAAATAATAGAGAATTTGGTAATGGTAACACAAAGGTAATATATGTTCTGTTGATACTTCATCTACTTCAAATCATGTTTCTTTGCAGCTGTTCTTTTCTCATTTCTTTTTGTTTGTGCTTGTAGCAAAATCACTTCACCTAAAAAGCCACTACTAGGTTTTATTAAATTATTTTGGCCTTTTCCTTTAACTTGAAACAAAATGAGGGATTGAGGTGTCGAAGATGTGTTTTGAAATTACCTCACATCTTCTTTTCAGTTTGCTACTTTCATTAATTTTAGTTTTAATTTCATTTCCTTGCCTGGTAGGCTTTGATCATTCCAGTATCGATGCATGTGAAATGCATGCATTTAGTTGCATGGTGCATAATAAACTTTCCACCTAGTTTGTTTTTAAACTGGTAAGTGATGGTCTATGAACTGAGGTCATGATGTTGTCATGTGCTGGCAGACGAGAGTTAAAGCAAGGCTGTCAAATCCATTGCCAAAAACTCAGGCTGTGAAAGGTGGAATGTGTGGTGGCTTTCGAATTGGTCATTCTGGAAGTGGAAACTTTACAAGATTTGGTAACCTTTGATCTTGAGGACTTGAATCTTTCTTAACATCTGGTCTTGTCTCCATTTGATTTAGGCAACCATGTTACAGGAAGGGGTTTTGGGCGTGGTGGACATCACTCCAACTGGGCAAATTTCCAACGTGGGAGGGGTTTCTATCAACGAGGACGTGGTCAAACTAGTAGAATGGTTCCTCATGAGTATGACTATAATGATCGATATGACATGCTTCATGGGAGGCAAGGTATTCAATGGTCTCTCTCCCTGTGAGCATGTGGACACACACACACACTCTCCTTTCCAATAGAAGCAGATCTTTCAGTTGGCTGCCGCTAAAAATATAACTCCAACTATTGTATTGAGTAGGAGGCAGAAGGGGTACTTTCAGAGGAGGTTATCACACGGCTGGTAGAGGTATGACTGCTGGGCCATCAAGATCTAATATGAATAGAGCTTGGCATGATATCCCTGAGCGAGGACACAGGGACCATGTTTCTTCAAGGAGGCAACCATTTTCTCCTGAAGAAACCTTTGACCGACGTTTTGTTGGAAGGCACTTTGATGACCCCTATTTTTATGATGATGGACCACATGGGATGAAGCGGCCATTTTACATGACTGTGAGAATTTCGTTTTATGGCCAAACTCTGCCATTTGGTCAATATTGTTCTTTTAAAATTTAAGCTTCTGTCGTTGCTTGTGCGTCCTTTATATTCTTTAGATTTTGATAGTATTCTCTTGCTTTTAGGACCAAGATCCTGACTACATGGAACCTAGTAGGCTTCGACCCCGGTTAGATTACTCTGATCCTCGATTAGATTATGCTGACCCAGCAGCTTCATTTCGTGGGACACATTATCGTGGTATGAGTTATTTTGTCCCAGCTCTTTTCACTTTGTGTGGCATGGTTATTTTATTTGGTTTATTGTTTTCAATATTTGTCATCCTTGTGGCTTTATGTTTCAGATGCATATGGAGCAGGCAGTGAACCCTACTTTCATGAATATCGTGGTTCTGATGTGAGCAATTAACCTCTAGCTTATTCCAGTTCTTTTTTTTACTATTAATAGCTTCATCCTATTTTGTTTTCTGTTTGTGTTGCAGTATGCTTCATATCCACCTTATTATGGGAGCGACCATTCATATGGTGGTGGTTACCGCTATTAGGCACAGTCAAATCTGGTAATTCCAATTGCCTTTCAATCTTAAATAGTCTATATTGGATGTGATTCTTGAAGTTAAAGGTTTTGACTTTAATTGTGTCCAGGTGGGCTTGGAAAACCAGGATGCTAAAAATTGATGATAGGCAAATGGCTTGGTGTTCAGAAACTAGTTGAAGTTGCCTTTACTCTATCTTTTCCTTATCTTGTATTGTTCTTTGTGATTCCCTTCAAATTCTCTCCCTGTGAAAATTTTCGTTGCAGTATCCGGAGACTTTTTGTCTAGTTTAGGGTATATCTTCAAAGGGCATAGATTAAGCAAGTAAAATTCTCTCTATATTTTGGAGATTGGAATAGATATTTATCCCTTTGATCTAGGCATGAACTGCTTGAGGACTTACATTATGGGGTTGTTCTATAGTTTAGTTTTTGGTTCTGTTTATGTTCCTGAATTTTGGATGAAAAATTGATGCTGATGATGTTTAATTTTGAAGCCAAAACATAACAGATTGGTGACTATGGTTTATGGAAGTGCAAAGTTTCAAATCAAGGTTTTTCATGTAGTGATGGAGGTGAAGCAGTTAATACTGAGCATGCTGGTTCTAGCTTTGTGGAGATTTCTTGAAATTTTTGAAAGAGAAATGGAAAGGTTTAGACCTTCTATGCCTAATTTATAGGAATTGTAAATCCAAATCGTAACATCTTGTGTGGCTTTATTTTGAAAATTGGAAGGGATTTGTGCCCCATGAAACTTAATGGTTATTTAGTATGCCAATGACTGGTTCCCTTGGATATGATCTGGCTGTTCATTCAACATATATGCACCTATTGCCAAAGCAAAACTGCTGGGAATTGCATTTTATTTGAAGGTGCATTGCACCGAAGATGAAATTAAGATTTTGAACACATTTCATTTAATTATTATTTTACTAGGAGAACTAGCAATTGGCTTGGTCCATAATATATTTTGATTCGTCAGTAGCATAAGATTTATGTATTTTGAGAGTGATCCTTTATGGTATCTTTACATAACAGAATCATTTGTTGGGTTGAGATTGAAACTGACAGTTTGTGTGGTGATAAGATCTGTCTTTCAAGGTGAATTGATTCGTAAGCTTAAACTGTCACTTATTGTGATAGTTACTGTTTACAAGCTTTGGATTGATGGAGAAATGGCATTGGTGTGCCTACAAGAAAATATATGATGGTGTTTCATATGTGCCTCTTAAACTTCACTGGTTGAGTTGTGTTTCAAAGCTTACAAGCATTTTTCAATGGTGGTAATGGCCTACAGTTCTCTGTATCACAATGATACGTGGCATAGAATCCTAAATGTGGAAATTGTGGTTATAAAGATGAAGGTTCTTATATTATGCTCAATCATGTTGTAGCCCATGCTAAAGTTGTTTTAGATCCTTGATAATCCAAATATTTGTTGAATGTTTATGCTCTGCCATGTACTTAGAAAGTGGTAGCTGCCAATTGCAATGAGGTGTCCCGACTTGAAACAATGATTAAGTCCTGTATTTCCTGTTAGGATATTGTTATAATGATGAAGTTGATTGTGCAAGTTGGGATTATACTACCATTCGGTTACTTTTTTTGTTTTGTCAGAAGTGCAGGAAATAATATTTTGAATCATAGAGATTGCATTGATTTTAGTGGGGCTGGGAGTTGATTTATGTTTGTTGTCAATTGGTTTCCTGTAGAAAACTGTGTTAGAATATGCATTGACCTTGGGATTTCCTTCAATCAAAACCAAAATATTAGGTATTTCCTTGTTGATAAATCTTTTATTTTTTTGCCTCAAATTTTTCTTGTCGGGCAGATATGTGGATCTGGTGCCATTTTGTGATAATACTTGGTTATCACTTGGTGGTTAGGATTTTGTATTTCTGTATTAGAAGATAAGATGCTCCATGCTATAAAATGATTCCATTTTTAGAAACTGTACTTGCAGCAGACACATGATAGTTCTACCAAAAAATGGGAGTAGCCTTTTCTTTTAATGTTGGAGGTATGTTGATGACTGGTTAATTTTTGCCTATTTAATTCTCTGTCTTGGTGTCATGGTGTGTTTGTGTTGGTCAACAATACTTCTAATTGATACATTGCTTACAAAACAAGTTTCAAAGAGTTATTAGGGGTTAAATGGCTTACTAAATGAGGTCCTCCCTTTTCTGTTTCATTTTCCATTTGCAAGCAATCGTGTTGGAGATTACTTATGGATTATAGTGATGAGTGCAGTTAGGTCCTAATTAATCTGTTGAAACGTGAAAGCGGAAATCAAGTTTCTATACATGAGATTTAAGGTGTTTGCCAAAACATAGAAACAAGCACCCACCATTTAGTGTTAGGAATTCTCTCATCTCGTGTGTGTGTATATTGGAATAATTCTTTAGATCTGCAGAGTACCTTGGATATTGTTTTGACCTCATGTGTGTATTGGAATAATTCTTTAGATCTGTAGAGTACCTTGGATATTGTTTTGACCTCATGATACATCTTTAGATCTACAGTGCATCTTGGATCTTGTTTTGACCTCATGTCATAATCATAACCTTCCATTGATTCTGACATGCTGTTCTAGTAGCAGTAAGGTTTTCCATATAGTGTTAATAATAATATTTACTATGGAGCATCTTAGAATGTTGCTTAGGCGCTTGCCAAAGTGGTTTTTGGGTCCGTTAGGGTGTTCAAGTTTTGCTGCTGAAGTTTATATATCCATACAACAGTTGTGTGCCTTTTTGTTTGTCTCAGCTCGCCCGCCCCTTTTTTCTTCCCTGTATATTTCCCGAGTTCTCTCCTTCAATTTCAGGTTGATCAAATTTTCTCTCATTTGTGACATATTAGAGTTTGAGGATTGCGATTTTATCATTGTGATGAACTTCAATTTGTAATTTGAGCTAAACTACTACTGATACTTTTTTAATATGGGTTTCTGTTAGTTGATAGAATCTGTTCCTCATAATGGCTGTTTAATTTGTTCCTCATAATGGCTGTTTAATTTGGATGCCACTCGTGCATCATTGTGCTTCAAAAAGGTCAGAGGCTGGGTTTCCCCTACAGCTTCAAGAGTCAGCTATGTGCTCCAGGTAATTTTTGTTTCTGCACCATTTCAAGAGTTGGCTGTGCGCCCGAGGCCAGAGGTGGATTTCCCTCACCTTGGCCGGAAAATCTTGTGGGTTCTTTTTTGTTGCCTAGTGTATTGTGATTCAGAGGGTTTTGTCATATTGGTTACATGTGAACAAACCGAGCAAGACCCTTGACTTGTTTGAATCACTAGGGCTTGATACCCATGCAGATCAGCCATTAAAACTGCAACCATCCATAGGTTGGGAGATTGAATTTAGTGATTTGATGTGTGAACTGCAATTAATCGCTATGCTAACATGTCTCAACTTTCAATCATATGTGCAGAGTCAACGGTCTTTTGACCCACGGTAAAGGTGGTTTTTGGCATTGCCGGATTATTTTAGCTTTTAAATAATTTTTTTTAGTGGTGTTAGGTATTTCAGGGGTGAGTAAAAAAATTGAAAAACCGATTAAACCGAGAAAACTGGAAAAAAATAACAGAGAAAACCGAACTGAAAAAAACTGATTTAACCGATTAAAATTTTAAAAAAACCGGCCTATTTGGTTCAGTTTCGGTTTTATATCAAAAAACTGAAAAAATTGAACTGAACTGAAATCGAAAAAAATCGGAAAAAACTGAGTCAAATTAGAAAAATCAAGCCAAATCGGACAAAACCGAGAAAAACCGAGCCAAACTGGAAAAATCAAATTAAACTGGTTTGAACTGGTTTTTTTCCTAAAAAACTGAACCAAATCGAAACTGGTCAGTTTGACCTGGTTTTGGTTTTTTTTTAAAATTTTTTTTTTCTGTTTGATTATTTTTTTAATAAAAATTGAAGTGAACTGAAAATGATTTTGTTTATATTATTTTAATATATTTTTAAATAAAAAATATTTTTAAAAAATAATTTTAAATTTTGCTGCGGTCTAATCCTGCTGTGGTCTAAAGATTGGAGATATCGATGGCCCTCCAGGCTTTCCTGTCTCTAATCAATGACTTGAAAATCACACGAACAACAAAAGAAGGTTATTCCAGCAGGTTACCGTGCTCGCCTTCTCACTTGTTTTCGCGAATGAAGCGACAAGACCTCAAATGTAAAATAAGTTAACGAGCACATCCAAATAAAGAGCAGACATCATTAGTACAAAACAAGCTCCGACAGATTAATCAGAAACGAAATCATTCAAGGACAAGAGGGTAAAATTTAATTATGAAACCCTGCGTTTCCCCATGCTTTGAAGCTGGGGAATGCAAGGGGGTGGAGCTCACCTATAATGGAGCTGTTTCAGCAAGAAGTGGCGAAAGGATCAAGTGTCCGTATGAATATCGGGTATGCTTGCCTTGAACAAATCTTGGTCGTACAGCTGATTGAAAAAGGCGGAGATGATAATTGTTGCCATATTGTAGTTTTGTCCTGAATTTTGTTTGTCGTGCGATATCAGCTGTCTCTTACATGCATGTAGTTTAATTTTCTGGTATAAGTGGTCTTTCTTGTTTTCTGATAATTGATCCTGTATTTTTCGTTTTTGTTTATTGAGGGTGAGATATAAACTGATTCAGGAATTCAAAACTTTTCTGCATTAAGGTGGGAGAGATTATTAATAGTGGCTCCCTTGCACAGAAGCAAACAATAATTTCTCGTTAATTGGGCCAAGTTAATCTAAGGTTTAAATCTGCTATTGCATTTGTGAAGAGGATCTGTTTTTGTTTTTTGGTTTTGATATTACAGTAATGATTATTTTTTAAATATTTTTTTATTTGAAAATATATTAAATTTTTTTTTTTAATTTTTTTCAAAATCAGTATGCTAAAATGATAGATATAAAATTTTTTCAAAAAGCTTACACGGAAAAAAAACCAATCGGTGCTGGCAGATTTTTGTCTGTACTGATGAAATGTAAAGCTTTCGAGAAGTTTCTTCCAATTGCTTATTCCACAGGTTTGCACTCCCTAAAATGCATTGGGGGTGTTAATGTGAAATTGTAAATAATGAATTTTAATTCTGACGTATCTACTATGGAACAACCACAATAAGCCTAAGCTACCCGCCGCAATCCACCGAGGCATACCCATAGGATTAGCATCCCATATCCCAATTCTTAAATGCAGAACAATAAATAGAAAGTAACAAAACAAACACTGTTTTTCTTCAATGGCTTCAAATCACACCCAAATGCCAACCAATTTATCCCTTTTAAACAACATTGTGATCTAGACTTTCCCATCTTCAATCTCATAAAAACATCTAAAGCAAGAAACCATCTATGCCAGGAGAAATTTGATCCCAAATCCATCCAAAAAACACACCTTTTCTTTATCACCCCCCCAAAACAAAACCAAGTACCAAGTGCCATGCCTGTTCCCTATCCACAACTATCCATGCCTTCCTACCATTTATTCGCTAGCAAAAGGGCATATAAACAACCGTTAGATCCCTCTCCACGTGTACGTTCTAGATCTATCATTGCACACATCACCAATCTTCAGAACTCGAAATGGCCAATAAGAACCCACTCTCTCCTCTTGTGTTCTCCCTATAAATGCCAACAAACGTCGTTCAGACATGACATAAGAAAACCATATCAGCAGCATCCGGTATCTCTGTCTAATATTATCCTGCGCTTGTTCTGCCTTGCTTGACCACCATGACAACCAGCAAAGAAGCTGAAACTGAAGCTCCCGTGGTTGAGCAGCCCCCTGCTACAGAAGAGCTCAAGGTGGAGGAGAAGCCTTTGAAAGAAAAGAAGCCAAGGACTCCTAGAGAAAAGAAGCCTAGAGAACCTAAACCAAAAGCTGTTGCTCATCCTCCTTATTTTCAGGTCTTTCTATTTATATTCATGCTCTTCTTTTGTTCTAAAAGCGTGCCTTGTTGTTATTATTATTATTATTATCATCTTTATTTTTATTGATGTTTGATTTAATTTGTGGATTATATTATTGTAGATGATCAAGGAGGCTATATTGGCTTTGAATGAGAAAAGTGGGTCCAGTCCATATGCAATCGCCAAGTACATGGAAGAGAAGCACAAAGCAGTACTCCCAGCAAATTTCAAGAAAATTCTAGGTCTCCAATTGAAGAACTCTGCAGCCAGAGGAAAGTTAATCAAGATCAGGGCATCTTACAAGCTGTCAGAGGCAGGAAAGAAGGAGAAGAGCACTACAGGGAAAGTCTCCAAGGGAAGTAGTGCAGTGAAGAAGACTAAAGAGGTTAAACCTAGTATGAGAAAGACCAGGTCTGTGAATAAAGCTGATGCTGGTGCAAAGAAAGTTGTTGGGGCGAAGAAGGCTAAGAAATCAGCTGCTGCTAAACCTAAACAGCCCAAGTCTATCAAATCTCCTGCTGCCAAAAGGGCAAAGAAAGTTACTGCCACTGCTTAGATGTAGAAATTTTGTACTAGCAGAACGGCAGTAGTTAGTTTCTGATGTTCTTCGTTGGGTTTATGTGAATATGGGATGAACCATGTTGTCTAGTTTATGTTGGGGTGTCTGTCTTGTGAAACGCTTTTTGGGGCACACAAGTGTTCCATGCTTTGTATAATCTTGCAAGTTCAGAGGTTAATGGGACTCAGTTTTGCGTTCTTGCTTTTTCTGAATTCTGTGTGTCTGTGGATGCTGGTTTTCTTCCCCTTTTAATGACATTTTCTTTGCAACCGAGAACTAGAGGGTTCGAAATGTGGGTTAGGATCCGTGATGTACGGCGAGTGTTTTTTTTAATTAAAATAATATATTTTTCTATTTTTTTAATAATTTTTTGATATTAATATACCAAAATAATATTTTAAAGATAAAAATAAATTTTCATGTTCTGAATCATATCCCAAGTAGGTTAGTGATGGTCTCCAAAGAATTGCATGCTTAATTTTGTGGGATTTGTTTTTTCTGCTAGGAGGTGCTGGAATCCAAAGTGGCTCGCTATGGGATATTAACACAGTAGCAAAAGGAATTTGTTAAAATAGCATAAAATTTATTTGTAAAAATAACATTAGCAAGTTTTATGTGTATGATCTTAAAATTGCAATGAGAGGTATTCTTTTAGCCTTTTAAAATCAAGTTATATTTGATACAACTTCACAAAATCAATTCAATACAAATCACATATTTTATAATTCAATTTTATTTTAACTCAATTTCTAATTAAACAAACTTAATTCACTTTATACATGCCACAACATGCCACGTAGATATCAACATGCCACACTTAATTCACTAAAATGACATATTTAGCCACAACATGCCAAACCTCTTTGAGTTTATTATGAAGCATGACAGTGGCTCTTCGACCTTTTTGCATAAACAAATCTAATATACAACAAAAATTATATCATCATTTATAATATATAAATAAGATATTTATTAAATGTAATAAAAAAATACTAATAGATATCAATTTATTATATATTAGTGTATAAGTCTAATTTATTAGATTACATGGATGTCTTATAATATACTCCTATATTGATGTAATAAATCTTTTCATGAACCATGTCATGTAGATATCTAAATAAATATAGGGATATTGCTAAGTAAATATTCAATTTCTCTTAGCAGAGTTTTATATATGTTATATGAATTAATAACCGATTGTCTTTTTTGTTTCTCTTGATGATTAACAATATGTAATTCATCAATTATATCAACATTATTAGAGATGACTTCATGTAATTCAAACTATTGCATTACCCAATTAGGATAATATATCTCAACATTGGCAAAATAGCAAAATAGTGCACTGAAACCATTGTTAGCCATTCCTCACTACCCTACATGCACATCAAAGAAGCTATTAATATTAAATTATTAATATATGGTTATCATATCACATATCAAAATATAAAATATAAATATAAAACAATAATTTGACACGAAAAAACTATGTTGCAAAAAACAAATAAAATACATTAGGTAACACATACTTGGTGAAGCTTATGCACATCCAACTTATCTTGAAAGAACTCGTGAACATGGGTAAGATTTTGGATAAAATGTATGGACTCACACAAGCTAACATGACAAGCTATAAAAATAATATAATTTTGATGTAATTTATTTATGTAATGTGTTAAAACAATTATATTAAAAATTATTTTTGTTGAGCTCCAACTAAGAATAATTTTGCATGTAATTTATTTATGTAATGTATTAAAAAAATTATATTAAAAATTATTGTTGTTGAGCTCCAACTAAGAATTGCCTTTTTATATATGCGTCCAATATCATGTCTCTAGACATCTAGATGACTAATATGAAAATGTTTCCACGACTAGAGTTTTATATTTTTATACTTAAACAATTATTTAATATTTTAATAAACATTATTGGCCTAATATTTTTTTATTGTATTATTTTATTAATGGTAAGGTTTTTGAGTTTTGAGGGGCTTAAGAAGAGTCGAAGATGTAGTTTTAGTAAATCAAGCATAATTTTTAATTCGACCATTTGATCAAGCTATAATTTTGACAAAAATTTTTCAATGCCCTATTTCTTAATAGATAAACATTTCATGATGATCAAATACCAAGAAGATCTTTAAATAAGGCTTATGAGTTATTGTGTGGTATTATCTTTACTTATCTTGTTGTATTTCAATTAAAACTTTTATTTTAACTGGTATTTTACTACTTAGGAATTCTAACACTAGATATATTCTATTAGTTATGTATATTTTAATTAGAAATCCTTTATCTATAAAGGATTTTAGTTTTAGTTAGGAATCATTTTCTTTAAAGGATTTTAGTGTAAATAAGAAGGTTTAGTTTATTTTCAGATTCAAATTAAAACTATTTAGACTTTTAATAAATTACTAGAGAATTTTCTCTCAATATTTTTGCAACTTAAGTTTGTAAGACATTAACAACCTAATTAGCGATGCAGGAGTGAAGTCTCTCTAGGGTGATATACAAACTTAGGAGAAAAAACTAGATCATTTAGGATATATGTTTGATTGTTTGGATTAAGCCATGATATATCTAAATCATTTAAAGAGTAACACAAATAAGGATTGTGAAAAGAAAAAGAACATGCATGGAGACTTACCTCAAGGTAGGTCAAACCTTAAACCTTTTCCTGAATTCTAGAAAATTTCTTTATATGATTAAAGATTTTCAAATAAAATATTTATTAACTCGTTGATAAAGTGTGGAGCTTACTTTTATTTTTTATAAAAAAATTGTCATAAAAAAATAGCACTTGTTACATGCAAACTTTCATATGGATTTTAGAATTTGTATTGGCAAGCCTTTAATTTCATTATGACAAGTTTTGAGACCATCATTAGTTATGAAGTTTATATATGATGATTATGAAGATATTTTATATTAGGTATTGTAAATAAATTATTATTATTTTCATTTCGTTTAATCTTCTCAAATAGCAAGGGAGAAAAATATGAAAGAGGTATTGTCTATTTAAAGTAGACAATTTCAACATCACCTCGATAATAACAACATTGATATAAATACTACTCTACTTATTAATGTTTCATTAACTAATTGTGAAGAAAACAAATCATAGAAGCTTCTAAATTAGTATCAAGTAATGATTCTCAAGGCTTGAAGCACTAAAAGAAAAGCTAAAACAAGTTATTGAAATTGCTCAAAAGGCTGAAGTTGATATCAAAGAAGACTTAAGTATGAGTGTGTCATCCAAACCAAGCATATCCTTGTTGGATCAATATTCTAAAATTATCAATTCAACTGGTGGTTAAGACATTATAACGAGGAATGACCAAACACATCAACTGATGTTGCCATCAACTCAAAAGACAATTTAATATGAGGTCGATATTTTAGGTCTTAATTTTTTTTCTTAAATTAAATTTATGATATTTGGAACAAGTTATCTCACACATATATTGACGATAATGTTATATTTAAAATATTTATTTATTTGAGTTGGTCATGTTTAATATTTGATAGTTAACTTGAGGACAAGCTTTTTTGGAAGTAAAGGGATTGACATGGAAAAATCTCTTTAATATTTTTGGAATAATAATTTTTATTATATTATTTTCGATAATTATTGAAGATTTTTTTTGGATGAGTTTTGTCATAACCCAATTCTGGGTTATTCCCCTAAAATCACCTTTTTTCAAAATAAAAAAAATAAAAAAATAAAATAAAGGTTGGCAATGTGGAAAATGCAGGCTGAGGAATTAAGCTGTAATTTTTAGAGGAAATTGAAGGCCTAATTGCACCCTATTGTGCCCAGAATGGAGAAAACATGCAAATTCAAGGTCAAATTAAATGATTATTGAATGAATTTGCATAAAAATTAAGTTCAAGGACATAATTAAATTTTTAATAGGCCAATTTAATTTAATCATGAGTCAAATTGAATTTTAATTATGTTTAAGAATTAATTTGAGTCCAATTGAATGATTTAATTAAGCGCAAGGATTTAATTATACTTTAAATGAGTCAAATTAATTTTATTTAGGGTTTAATTAATGAAAAAATAAGTTTGGAGTGCAAGGACTTAATTATACTTGAAATAAGTCAAATTAATTTTATTTATGGCTTAATTAATGAAAAATTAAGTTTGGGGGCCTAATTTTAGCTTAATTGAGAAGATTGAAATTTTAAGAGACCAAATTTAATTTTTACCAAGTTAATTGATCGAAATTAAAGGCCAAATTGCAAGAAAATTGAAGTTTAAAGGTTAATTAGGGGCTAAATTGAAGAAATCCGAGATTAGAGATAATATCGTAATAGGCATGTAACTTCGGGGCTCCAATTAAAGTTTATCAGAGCCTTAATTGAAAAATTTTAAGGTCAATTAGGGGTTCAATTAAAAGCAATTGAAATAGGAAGGACTGAAATGAATTTTGATCAAGATGATGATTTTGCACTGTTCATCTTCTTCTTTAAATCCCTGAAATAGCTGGTCTGGTTACCTACTTTGCAGTTGTATTTAATGTACCTTATATCCACCATATTTGCCAAAACATGCATGAAACTAATCACCAGACATCCCTTTACATTTAAGTATGGTTGGCACCGGCTCACTAGCAAATAAATGGACTTGGAAGCACTCCAAAGAGGCCAGCTAAGGCAGTTTGCAACTACAGATTTTGACAATTTGATAGTGCATTATGCCTACTTTGAGTCAACGGTTGAGATCTTTTTCATCTAAATCAAAGGCAACAATTTTTCTCTAGTGTAGACAAGATTGCTATCTTCCACCGCCTATAAATAGAGGTGGAATTGATGGCCTAAGGGAGGAGAAAATCGGGTCCAAAATAAGCTAAAAAATTAGCTTCTGACACAGCCATCGCGACTTTCTCCCTCCAGCGTTTCTCTCTCTGTTATAACCTTTTCTTCTTCCTCCCGTAACCGACATCGGCCTCCATCGTTGTGATCACTAGCAACACACCGTCATCCTTGGCCAGACCAAGGCCACGCCAGGTTGTTCACCCTCTCTCTCCTTACCCTTTCCCTTCTTCTTCTTCTTCCTCCCCTTCGCTGCCTCTGTTTTGTGAACAGTGGACATGAATTATAATTCATGTCCTACTGTTCATACATAATTCACATCCTACTGTTCATGTATGAACAGTAGGACATGAATTATAATTTATGTCCACTGTTCATATAGTGGA